CGGTCCAGAGTTTTGCAAATATCTCAGCAACGTTGTGGTTGTATTTCGCTTAGTAACCTGCCATGAAAATTATAGAAGGCAGAAAACAAAACGTTAAACATATCCGAATTGTGTTTGGCAGGTAAAACATAGTAAAATATAGCACATTATAGGAACGTTCTACCACTAATTGGGTAAAACAAAGGCTTCTCTATGATTCGCTGTTCTCTTGATAAGCACACTCGAGGTTAGTTCATGCTACTCTACAACCCCGTGATGTTCATAACCTATTAGGTTCTCTAATTGTTGGAAATTTATCGTTTGTGGTCAAAAAACCCAGCATTTGGCGTGTTAAAATCGCAGGCAAGTTCACGGTGCTCTTCGGCCTCCGAGAAATCAAAGCTGGTTATGTACGTGTTTGTTCTACTTATCAAACATTTGTATTACCGGTTCATATTTCGTAAATTAACAGGGTGGTTTTCAATTTTTGATAAGATTTTATGGCAGCTCATACAAAAGACTCGTATTTAAATAAAAACTTCAGATCGCTTTGTAAAAAATGAGCCAGTGTTAGGGCTGTCTGTCTGGTGGCGATATTCCATCGTGGATCCTCCTTCGGTGCCAAAACCTGAACAGTAAAAAATCACTAAAAAAAAAAGGCGGAACATTGTAATAAATAGAGCTCAAAGATGGCTAGCGTTGATTAATTTCCGAGGTCTGCCTCATGTATTAAACTCTATCCGTAGCTTACACGAGGTTGATAATGATATTTATTTATTTTCGGCTAACGTTTCGACGTCTTCGTCTTCCTCAGAGCCGATGATCCGAATCGAGTCCATGCTTGTTGTTCGTCTCGACGTTGCAGCTTCGCCTTCGTGTCGAGTCAGGTCTTCCTCAGTGAGCCATCTTCTCGAATGAGGCATCCTCACTCAGTGATGCAATTTTATACAACAACCATAGACCATCGACTCGGATCATCGGCTCTGAAAAAGACGAAGACGTCGAAACGTTAGCTGAAAATGAATAAATATCATTATCAACCTCGTGTAAGCTCATCAAAGAAAGAATACATATTGATTCGTGATACCGAGGTTCAAGGAAAGTCGGTTTCGAAATATCTATTCGTAGCATTGCAGAGATGAATAAATTCATATTTCCAAATAGTCTCTTTATGCTCATATAGAGCTCTAAGACGAATTCTCCGACCCTGAGGAAATGAAAGGGTTGGTGAGTCTGGAACAGGGAGTCGAACCGAAGAGCGCGAGTGTATGGTAGAACGCTCCTTGCCACTGCGCTACACTATTTCCCTAATCATGCAATTGCAATGACGATGCAATCTCGTAACTACAGGTTTTAAGTGAAGTCTTCTTGGTGTTCTTGACAAGAAAGCAAAGTGATGACATTTTGTTCTAAAACTTGAAAAGATATCAAACTGTTCGAATTTAGCAGAGGACCTCATCTACGCCTCATTTGCGAAGAAAGAAAAGCAATTGATAAGATCTATAGACTGACAAAGTGAGGCACAAAGACTAGTAATGCTAGTGAACAGCATGATTACATTGAAATCGATGTGTAACTTCTGTAATGTCTCAACTCTTACCTTAAACGCGTCATCCGGTAAATCGATATACATATTGCGATGTATCCGGACTATTTCGTACCATTGTCGTTTAGCATCAGACACTGAAAAGAAAAGACTAACAATAGCCGAACAGGGGTAATGCTACTACGTCCTACAATGCAATGGCGTGGCATGCGCAATAGTTAGTGATACGCCTCAATACACACGTCATCACTGGTTTCGAATCTGTGAAATGAAGAAACGACGCTCCTCGAGCGTTGTAGAAATCTACCCAAAACGTCTCTGGGAGGATAGGAAACGCTGACAGGGTGCACTGATAGGGTTCTTTTTGTAAGCCTTTTTGCAGGCAAAAAACGTGCATTTAATTATCACTCCGAAGCTGTGTATAGACTCGAATGCATCGCGCAACCCAAAGGGATTGAACGACGCCAAACGCTTTTGTTATATAACAGCTCGACTCTCATTTATTTTGCAATATATCGAAGACTAAGTCGGACGAACTGAGATGAGCCAATGAATGGCAAAATCAAGTTTTGACTGCAAAGTTTACTCACACTGAAGTCTTAACGCCTATCTTGGTTTGAAGGTGTCTCCAAGTGTCGAACTGTGACGCACAGCAGGAATTCATCTCCCAGTAGGGCCACTCTTGCCGAGAGGGATATTGGCAGTTCCGGGCGAAAGCTCAGCTAGGGTAAACTTACGCAATTTAGCAGAGCTCTGCGAGTCACCTGGGGCTCGCTAAAATCATTTTGAAAAGGTATCACACCATTAATTTAATACAATCCGTCTCCCTCTCGAAATTTGAGACCATTGAGCAAATCTCGTACAGGACGGTGGGGGACAAATGGGACTTAACCAATCGACAGCTAACAGCTCTGCCGCTGAAACAATGCAGTTCAAGCGGAATGTTATACAAGAGATTTGGATTGACAGAAAAATGATAACGAAGAAAACAGTGTAGCTATCTGATTTTCCTCCACGACTGTTACAAACACAGTCTATGGAATGGACTTGAAGAACTTTTACTTTCCACTTCAATTACGGCTCCGTGAAATGTGGACATTGCTTCATTGCTGTTTCGGAACATAGCAAACACTTTGTCGACATGGAATCGTTTTGAGCACCAGATTTTCCTTAAGTATTCAAAGATTTGCCCTAGAGCTTGAGAAGCGTAATTGTTACAGATGTCGTGTAGTGCGCGCTCTATTGACCTATTGGTTCGACCCTGCCCAGACCACCTGTCTTCAATACCTCCGCGGTTCCCAAATCATTATCAGATTTCTCTAGGAAAGAATGTAACGTATCAGCAAAGGTCGACCACTGTGTACAATGAAGGCCTGTGAAAGCCCAGCTGAGCAGAATCAGGATTCCAAGAAAAACCCAACACAACAACATTCAGTGACATTGTTATACCTTTTTATTTTCTGCCTACTATAATTTCGCAGCAGGGTACTAAGCGAAATACAACCACAACGTTGCTGAGATATTTGCAAAACTCTGGACCTCAGGTGTCTATGGTGGGGAACGAAAGCGCCATTGTCCTTTCCGGGGAGTAACGCGTTCACCACCACACCATGCGGGTCCTTTGTTTCGCCTGTCTCTCAGCTATTTCTATCGATCTTTGCCACAGCAGTCACCCGTCAACGGGATTGATCTGAGGCGCCCAAATCGGCATAGAACCCAGTTAAGCTGCGGCTGTAGTTGAAATTCCAATGTTATACTTTTTTTATTTTCTGCCTACTATAATTTCGCGGTAGGGTACTAAGTGAAATACAACGACAACGTTGCTGAGATATTAGACACCATAGACACCTGCGGTCCAGAGTTTTGCAAATATCTCAGCAACGTTGTGGTTGTATTCAGTGACATTGTTGAAGAATAATTTTAAACCACTGGCCGAACCCACGTGCGAAGTTAGAAGATGTTCATGGATGAGAGGTGAGAGACAACGGACCGCATGAAGGAAGAGCTAATATCAGCAACTATCCCAAGTCGGGTCATATAATTAAGTATGAACAATTACTTCCTGTCAAATTTTTTTATTTGATCCGTCTTCACATCTACCATGCGGATTCCAGCACTTCTCACATTCGATTCGCTTCCTCCTATCCATTGTCTACGAAGATCTTCCAACTTTTACGTGTGGCTTCGGTTGCTGTTTGAGGATTTCCATTCCATCTTGAATGTCGTAGAATGCTGGTCGAGCAGTTCTTCCTGGAGTCCTGAGATAGCCGTGCTGGAGCGTTCCCAATTAGATTGCAGAGAGCGATTTTCTTCCCAGACAAGTTTGGCACCAATTCCCCGACCACGGGTGGATGAGAGGCCTGGTTGGCCAGAGGAATCGAATTAGTACCATGCTTGTGATGACAAGCATCACTACCACTATTCTACCCGCCCCCTGTCAAATACATAATATAAATGTTAAATATTATACATATATACTATGATATATCATATCAACATATTTTCTCAGTATTTCTCAAGGATGTCTTGATCTTTTCTGAGTAACATTCGGAAATTGAGATTTTCTGAATGGAAGCAGTCTATGGAAAAGTTACTGGCAGTGATGCCGTACCTGTGATTTCGAATAGATCGGCAATCACCTCCCATGCCTTCTCGGCCTTCTTCGATCGTTGATTATCGTATATTTCCGGATGAATCCGAATCGCAGCTACAAACTCCGGTAGAAGCTCATGATGTAACGCCATCTGAAAAACAAACACTAGATAGACGAACAGACAAGGCTGACATACTTGACATGATCGAATGTGTCTGCTTTTCGCCATTTTCTAAACTGTTGTGCAAAAATTGAGAAAAGAAATTACTCTATATTAAATAAAAACAGTAGATGAATAGGATTTTGCCCCTTAAGAGAAAAATTATCTTGTCCATAAACTCAACAATATCAGTAAAGTGGAAACTGGTAGAAATTCGAAGGATTACATGATATATGGCGCTCCACAAAGGGAGCGTGTGGCGTAGTGGCCGTAGGTGCACTGTAATACATAGATGGTAGATCGGTCCCCGCGCCCCTAGATCACCAAGCCCTCCATCCCTCCGGTCGGAAAACTGGTGCCAGACTTGTCTGGGAGGATGGCGGCACTAGCTCAATACATCGGTAGGCCACCGCGAGTCATTCGTTGTAAAGGCCAGATTGTATTCAATCACCTCCAAACGATGCTTAATGAAGTCGAATGCATGGTACATCCCTCAGCGATTGATCAACACCGAGCGGTTTACTTTTTAGTCTTTTATGGCAATCCCTTAATACTAGAAGTAAGCCGGAGGAAATCAATTATGGCAAAAAGTAACGAAAATGGCTAAGAAAAATGAAGACTGAAGTTGGGAACAAAAAATTTTAGTGACTAGTATAGTCAATCTAAATGCTTTTTATTCTGTAGAATTTCTCTTGTTTTTACATCTCCAGTGTAAATTCGCACATAATGGACGGCATGAATTGATTTCGATGCATGCGAGGTGAAAGCAACTTGCTATTTCAGTTTAAACCAGCATATCTCAGCTTATAACGAAGGCTATTTGTTGGAATAAAAAAACTACAACAATCTACCGACATTTGCTAACAAGGCAGAAGTTCTCTTATTTCACCAAGACTCTGAGTTCCTGGAACTCACGAAGCTACCACTTCCTTCGCCGAGAAAATAGACTAGTCATTTTTGCCATAGTCAGTTATCGAAAAATCAGCATAGCCTGTTTTCTGTTAATCAAAATCACTTGCTCACCTTGCCAAAAAATGACAAAAGTGAGTTTGGAGTCCGAAAAAGGCTTAAAAAGTGGTCCGAATAAATGCAACTGAGGAATTTAAAAATATAAAGAACTAAACGTCAGTCAGATACTTTGTGAAGAATCTTAAAGCATAACTGAAGCCATTTAAAATGGCGATTGTTGGAAGGATACGCAGCTAAAAGGAGAAAAGCGCCTAGATAAAGCAACAATTTCTTAAAACTTTCTCAGAATCTCATATTAATATTACCCTTTTCAATAAGAACACAAATTTATACTCTAGTAGTCTATATAATCCATCTCAAAGACGGTTTCACTTTATGGATTAAAGAAAGACACAAGGATTAAAAGGGGAAAAATTTTGGATTCGTGAGGAATGAATACAGAACTCTGATGTTTTTTTTAATTTTCCAAATTTATTATACTTCAGTAAGAAGTATACAACCTACAATCGGCAGAGTAATCGATTACTTGAGCCTTCAAGTAAACACTGGCCGCTTTTCTGAAACGAAACGACGGCATATGCTGGGAGCCCATGAATTGCTGCAGTTCTGACTGGAGTCGTCGATGTTTTTGAGATGCCTTCTAAGAAGTTAGTTTTTATATGTAAAAGATTTGAAAATCAATAGACGTATGATGCGGACCATGAAGAGCTGTGCCCAATTTGAGTGCCTCCAGTTGCTGACGAACCACCTAAGCCAGATCCAAAGGAGAGTCGACGTGATCATTATGGAAGGCTGCACTAAAAAGTGTGCAAGAATAAGGGTTTGACCTTTGTTATGTTGATAGCTATTTTCTCCAGTGTAGCCAAAAGATTCCAAGAAAGCCTCTATGACGAAGCACCTTAAAGGTCTTCATACCCTCGTCAGGTTGTGATTAAGAAATCCTTACTTTCCGGATGCAGTAACTTTAACTGGAAGACCGACTATCGTATAACTCAGTTCGTGTGTGTTACCTAGTGTGGAGTCTACTGACTAGACACTGTGCCACCTGCATGTACACGTAGTGACCTCGAACGTCCGTCTAAATGTCCGTTAGTGTCAAAACTGGGAAATCGTACTTTGTACTTACTCCTGCCCAAGACGAATCTTATATTGCCGGATATGACAGCCGTTTTGTTATTTGTTGTAGAAGATCAGTCAATTTTGCTGTTTACATGCTTTGTTTCTCCGTCACTCTTTCACAACACTATTCTCTTTTCCTCGATTGCGCGTTTAGCTCGTGGTTAAATATGCCCTATAATACAAATAAACGGAGATGCTTGCTGGTTCGGTCGCACGCCACTACGGGCGAACCAATACTGTCCGTCCCTCCAGGGTCGGCGAATCAATACCAGGAGTGGCTGGTATGACGAAAAAGGACCGTTCTAATACCTCAGTAGGGCCTTGCAAGACATTGCAGTGGTAAAACTTACATTCAGGCACCTTCACAGTGTTGTGAATGAAATCAAATGCACGCCGCATCCGTCATAAAATAGTAAACATTGGACGCTTTATCCTTTATCCTCTATGTCTTTTTTATACACTTGAAAAACACATAGACGTTGATGACCATATTGACAACACTGACGACCAACACGACTTTATGATTGCAGTGGTTTTTTCCTCCTTTTTGTCATCTTTATCATTGAAAAAGAAAGTATTGGTACATGAACAACATAGGGAAGTGTCTGCGGTTGGGAACGAACGCTCTACTATCCTTTTCGGGACCCGCATGATGTGGCGGTGGTGGACACGTTATCCCCCGGGAAGGCTAATAATGCGTTCGTTCCCCACAACAAACACCTGTGGTCTGGAGTTTTGCAAATATTTCACTATCGTTGTGGTTGTATTTCGAATAATACCCAGCCGGTGAAAGTCGTAGTAGGCAGAAACTAAAAAATAAACGTAGGGAAGTGTTTTCAATCAAATGCGTTGTCTATACGTACATCACACTTCAATGTCGCCGAATATTTTTAACGAGATGTAAAAAAAGGAAGCGAATAGGAGGAGAGCATTAATTGAGGAGGTTCGAAGTGGATCCAAGGTATTAAAAATGCAACGCCTCGCTTAGAGAAGCGTGAAGCCCAGCGACTGCTTCGCATACTTGAGCAGACCGGCCCTTCCCTCAAGTGTTAACGTTCAGCCGTTTTCGGCTTAAAAATTCGAAAATGATTCACTCCCCTGTCGGGAGAAAAAAGAAACAATCCTTCACGACGTTGAACGATTACCGTCAAGTAGATTTCAAACAGATGAGAAGAGAAGGAAATTAACTGCTAATAAGAGAAACACAAGAAAAATAACTGAATAAGAAATTTTAAAACAGAGCACGATTATTTGAAATGCCTTTCAGCAGAAATTTGAACAGCGCGTCAGTATCTCTACATCATAATAAAAAATCACAAATATAGCCCTGAGATTTGATAGGAGGTCCATAAGGTTGTTCCATGAATGGCGTATTGAGTGAAGGGCTGATGGGTAGCCAGTACAAACCGATCAGACTCTCCAGGATGCAATAAAGTGTTCGTCATCTGGAACCGATCTGCTTCAAAGCTTCGGAATGTGGTGAAGTACTACTATATCGTCTATGAAACCGACCATAATTTCGGACTCAAGCAATTATTAAAAATAAATAGTCTTAATCTTAATGAAGAATAAAGGATAGAACGGTGACGTTGATAAACCCTTTGGGATAGACGTTGCATTCCTCTGCATTCATAGCAACGTAGAGGAGATTGAACACATCTTTTTTTGAAGAATGGCTTACGAAAGCCTACCGAGCAAAAAGTCAGTGTTTTTGTCTGGCGAGAGAACCCTGGCACCTATTTTCTTTCCTTATACGGATGGAGTACTTGGTTAGCCCAGAAATCGGAATCGAACCAGAGGCAACGTGTGTATTGTATGCCAACTCTAACCAATTTTTGCGCAAGTGCCCAAACAGATCATGTAGAATATGCCAACGAAGAAAAAATGGCGATAGAAGCTAGAGATATGATGCTTTAAGAGTGAGCTAGTGCAAGAAGACAATAAACGGCAGCGACGTCTAAGGATGAACGTCACTGTGATAAAAGAAGAGCTGAAGCAAAACTGCTTAACGATGAATGGAGCAAGTTTACTGCTGAAATCGGAAAAGCTAAAGAAAACCACAGATGATGTTTGAGTTTTTATTTGCTACCTATTATTTTTTCATTAAGAAGGGATTGAAGAAGGAGGAATTAGGCAAAAGAAGGAGAGCAACTTGGACCGCGTCCAGGCCTCTCAAAGAACCCACTGACCAACTAAGGAACCCAAAATTTCGCGCCTACCTTTCCAATTCAACGGATTAAGCGCTGTGTTATGCTGCAGAAATGTAGGCTGATGCTTCAACTATGTCAAGAATACTGCACACCTCCAAAGAGCGCTTGGACGATGTTTTCTGGAAAATAACCGCCAGACACGTCTCGCCGGAACACAAAGCTCTGATCCTCGAAACCTTTCTCATATTCGAGTCCCAGTAAATCACACTAACAGACGACTGATGGACAAAAAGAGCTGTAAAGTGGACTCCACGAAGATTCAGGCGCTCCGAGGGCGACAATTTAAACGCTGACGGACGTGTAGCTGCGGTTATTTTACAGATCGCGGTATGAGACTCGCGGCAGCCATTATGCTCGAGTTGAATTACCTCCATAGACGACAACTGCTAGGCAAAAAGACCAGTGGAAAATTTGCTGGTGTCCACACAACTCGTGAAGATGGGCAGTCCCAAGTGTCCAAGTACGTAACTATTTTTTTTTCGTGGCGGGGTATTATGCGAAATAAAACACAGCGATGCTGAGATATTTGCAAAATCCGGACCTCAAGTCAGATTCGAGCCAGCGATTACTCTTTCCGGAAGCTTACAGGTTGCCCACTGCACCACTTAGTTCAGCGCACACTTGTGTTTCCCAGATCGCTCCCATTGACGAGTGATTGCCTATCTCACCGTCAGGGTGAAAATAGGTAGAAAGAAAAGCTAAAATGAAGGTCTCGGTAGTGCAGTGGTTATCATGTGAGCTCCCGGAATGGGTAATCGCGGGTTCGAATTTGGCGCGGGTTCCGAATTTTGCGAAAACACACACCTTTAATATTCCAACGTTAAAGGCATGACAAGCATTCAAAAATTTGGGCGTTGAGAAGGCCATTTGCCATTACTATTAGCATCAAGCATCATTATCATTATCATTATTATTCTTATCGTTACTATTATTATTATTATTGTTATTATTATCGTTGTTAACATCATTTTAGCGCTTTGTGGCGTGATAAGTTAATTTTAGCGACTTCTGAGCTACTGTGACGACTTCAAAGTCACATGAATTATAAAAGAGTTGTAGAAAACAAAGAGGATCGAAGTTGGTTAACGCACAAAGTGATGTGATCGAAAATCAATAATCGATCCGCATTTGGCGAAAGAATGTTAGAGGCGAGTGTCGATTGAAAGCCGTTGTCGAATTTTGCGGAACGGATGAAAAGAAAGAGATGGGTGGAAAAGCAAACAACTCGTAAACGCGAAAAACGCATGTGACTCAGATAACGACGGCCAGCAGCACTTTTACAAGGTTTCTTTCTTCGCGAAATCAGAGCCACGATTTCGACGAATCACTCCGAGTACAGTAACCGACACTTTCTAGTATGCCTTCAACCTCGTAGCGCCAGCGAGTACAACCTCATTCTTTTGCAATAATGAGTCGATAGCTTCCAAACGTCTATTTATTTATTTTCATATTAGTCGAAAGGGCGCGTGTGGCGCAGTGGTCGGAGGCGCCCTCCAACACCCACGTGGAATCGATTCCCTTGTCTATAGCCCACTAATTCTTCCATCTCTCCGGGGTAGGCAAATTGGTAGACTTCTCTGGAACGATAGTAGATAGTATCAGGGAGAATAGATAGGCGATGTATCGGTAGTCTACCACGAGTCATTGTAAAGGCCAAATATACATTCAGTCACCTTCAAACGATGCTTAGTGAAATCGAATGGATGGCGGATCCCATAGCAAATACTTGACACCTGATACCTGAATGACCCGTCCTCACTGGTTGTGCGGGCCCCAGCATAATCTCTCTTTTTCGGAGGTTTGCTGGTTAAGCCATTATGATTCCCTGGAGTCCTGAGGTCGGTTAGACATGTCTTTGTGGTTCATTTTTGGATCATTAAGATTTATACAGAATGCTTCGACAGTTTTGAACGCTAAAGGCTTCGAATCCTATTCGAGGATGTGCGGATGGCGCAGTGGTCGGAGACGTCCTGCAACAGACATGTGGAATCGATCTCTGCGCCCATGGCTCACCAAGCCTTCCATCCCTCCGAGTTCGGCAAATTGGTACCACACTTGTCTGGGAGGATAACAGCACTGGTGGCGATACATCGGTAGGCAACCGCGAGCCATCGTTAAGGCCAGTATGCATTCAATCAGCTCTGAACGATGTTTAATGAAGTCGAATGCATGGCGCAACCCTCAGCGATTGAACAACGCCGAGAGCTTTATTCTATTTTTTTTTATGCGAAGATGCTTACTTTTGCTCCAAAATATTCTCCGTTGTGTCTGTCTGTTGTGTCATATGAGGGATCACGAGCCGGTAAGTCGCGAGGCTACGTGGCGCGTCCCCAGGTGGTGGATAGGAGGTTAATCGCGGACCAAAAGCGATCTTTGCTTCCATGAGACGCAGGTGGACCCAGGAGATGGTCTTCCTGTTTCTGCTGCACTGATTTGGCACATCTGTATTTGCTAGGCGTATTCATGCATGCCTGTGTGGTTGCGTTCTTGCTTATGCAGATTGCATTCTACGAGTCATTTCGGCCAAAAGCCTGTAATCAAGTGATTGCGAAGTATATGGGAAGCAGTTAGGAGTGGCTTCCAACAAATAAGTCCATGTACACTCTGGGAGAGCCTGGCAAGCTACCCGTGAGTATACCCAGACCCCACGTTCAGTGCCCAGCAAGCTATACGTGGGTATCAAGAACGCTAAACACAGTTTAAAAAAAACCGGGCCTCATTCCCCTGACCCCGAATGAGCCCTAATTTCGCAGCGTTAGGTAGGGCGAGTACGGAGAGGCTGCTAAAATCTCAGGGCCAATGGAAGCTGCCTAGACTACAAAGAACTATGGTGGCGATCTGTACCTACAATGCACGTACACTTGCATCCGAATCCCCGATAGAAGAGTTGCTCATGCAAGCAAGAAGGATAAAGTTCAATTAAGACCAATTGAGGTCTTTTGGAGTAAAGCAGCAATAAGAGAAGAGATGAGGAAAGGAGAAATGGTTATTCCAGTTTTTGGCAGTTTAGAAAATAGATGGTACCGTCATGTTATTATTTCTATATAAGGCTGGTCCATAAATTTTTCCTATTCGAAAAATCACGAAAGCGTCGATCAGTTAACCGTATAAGTTTTTCATACGAACATTGCGTCAACTCAATAATATAACCTCTTGCCTAAAGTGATTGATGCTATCCTTCTTATCCATCTGAAATCCCTACATACCCATTCAACAATAGCCACCTGCTCTCATTTAAAGGCACAATATGTCTGCCCTTTCTGATTTTCGACTTCTTGGCCTAACGAATTTGATCCCTGATTTCCGACGTAAGTCGGAATTCTGGATTCACTCCCTCTTTTTTGGGGAAAAAGAATATTCCTACTATTACCTTACGGAACACATGCAATGCTGACTTCTTTTTCGTTCTGACAATGATCAAGTTTACCGTAACCACAATGAAACATTGAGTAAAAATGTTGACGAGAAGCCGAGCGCTTTTGTCCTTTTAACATCATCTCCGATGGTCTTGTAAGCTCCCTAAGCCATTCGTTTACTTCCGCGCAGCATCGACGCCGATTCGTTCATCTTGTTGATTCCTCGACTGAGATATATAGCCTCGAAAAGGCCAGTTCGTTTTATTGGTCCACGGTTGTGTTATTTCACGATCAAGGAAGGCAGGGATGATCTAGGTGAATTTTCACGACGTCTATCATTGGTAGTACTTCATCATTCGGGTTTTGTTCAGAAGAATCCTACTAAAACAGGATGAATAGACATGTAGATTATCCTAATAAAAGTTGCACAATATTGTAAAGAGCATATATGCATTCAATCACGTCAAACAATGCTTAATGAAGTCGAATAAGAATATCCTTCAGGAATTGATCAACACTGAGAGCTTTACACTTTATCCCTTATTCAAATGAAAAAGAACTTTTTTCTTCCATTAAACAGGTACAGCTGAACTTTGATGAATTTCAAGCCCAATCAACAAATTTCTTGCAGTGAGTGAGAAAATTCGAGCAACGTAAAACGTTGAAAGTGTCGCGCGGATTCGGAAACGGATTACAAACCCGACGAGCTTCCGGAAGAACGTCTTCACATCGTCGAAGCGAAGATTGCGGATGTTTCTCCTAAATATAAGAACTAGAAAACCATAACGAGTAGGTAAAAGTGACATATTGTAGTCTTAATAATGTTTAAACGTCATTAAAAAATCATATACGAAGTCTGTCAAGGCGCTACTAACTTTCGATGGAATTTATAGTATTGCAAAATTATAATAATATCAAGCCCGTTAATGGTGATTGCTGATAGTACCGATCGACAAAACTAGCTGAGAGACGGGCGGAACGAAAGAGCCGCATGGCGTAGTGGTGAACGCGTCAGCCTCCGGGAAGGGTAATAGCGCGTTCGCTCCACACCACAGACACCTGTAGAACGGAGTTTTGCAAATGTCTCAACATCATTGTGGTTGCAATCTATAGTTACTGGCTACAGTCGTTAATAACACATGTTAAAGCAAGGTAGTTCCAGTACATCAAAATCGAGTTGAAGACATCAACGGAAGGAGAAATGAGATCGCTCAGCCCTCTGCTGAAGAAAGGGCGTAATTAGATTGTACATTAAAGGTGCTCTAATAAATGAGAACGAACTCTCCATCCTTCTGGTAATCACAAAGGAGGTTATTGCCTCACTCTTATTCGAAAACAAAACTGACGTTTCGGCAGCTTTTGCCTTCTTCAGAACTTCGAAAGCTCAGGTTGATTGCAATCTAGTCAGCCAAACACTTCCACAGCTCCAACAAAAAAAATCACGGAACCTATAACCTATACGTTTAAAAGAACACCTCCTATTCGTAAAACTTAAAGTTGAGCGAAATATTTCACTAGGCGCGAATCGCACACACAGACGTCACCTACATCACCTGTTGTCCCGTTGAACGTTGAGTGATTCGAGCGGGCGCCAGTAAGCCTTCCATTTTTTCCTATCGCGGGCAAGAGTAGCCCAGTAGGTTCTGCTCGCTATAGGAACTCGTCATAAGCATCATATCTTTTTTCGAGGCTCTTTGTGAAGAACTCTGACTATCGGGTCGGTGGTTTTCCTGCAGTACGTTTGACATCCCGAGGAATCCAGTCACTAACAGCTGTTGTCCATCGGTTGTGATTCATACGCATTACGTGTCCGGCCCACCTTATCTTCGACTGTTTGGCATACAGAACGGCATCTTTGATTTTTGATTGTTGACGCAGGTCAGAGCTTCGGATCCCTTCCTTTACTTGTGTGGAACGGAATACTCCTAGCATCGTCCTTTCGACTGCGCGTTCGATAATGCTGAGCGACCTTTCATCCTGACTACGCAGTGACCAAGTTTCTGACTTATATGTTAGGGCAAGAAGTACTGTTCAGTCGAAAAGATGGGCACGGAGTCGAGTGTTCTTTGTTCTCTTCACTACATCCTGGATGCTCTTGAAAGCTCCCCACGCCGCTCGTTTCCTTCTGCTCAGCTCTGGAGTTAAGTCGTTCAATACGTTGATTTTCTAACCCACAGAGACATAACTGGAGCTTTCCGAGACATTCGTTTCGTTGAGCATGAATGGGGCATACGAAACAAATCCGTTCATCATAAACATCACTTTTGTGAGATTTAATCGAAGACCAATCTTTCCACAGGCTTTATCAAAGCCGTCAAGCATACGTTCCGCCTGGCTGTTTGGTGTTATAAGGACGATGTCATCAGCAAAGCGAAGATGGTGTAACTGTCGACTATTGATTTTCACTCCCATATTATCCCATGCCAATGTTCGCATGACGTTATGGAGAGTGGCGGTAAATGATTTTGGCGAGATGGTATCTCCTTCCCTAGCTCCGCGGCGTCAACGTTAATATCGTTGTGGAATGGTAATACCATCGTTGTGAAATTTTTGTAAAGCTCACGAAGAATCTTTGTGAACAGAGTAGGGACTCCATAACTGTCAAGGGCTTCTATGACTGCTTCTATCTCAACTGAATCAAGGGTCTTCTGTAAATCGATGAAGGTGAGATAGAGAGGTCTTTTGTACTCTCGCGATACTTCAATGAGCCTTGTTACCGTGTGGATGTGGTCCGTCGTACTAAATCCTTTTCGAAACCCTGCTTGCCCACATGACTGTCCTTCGTCTAGTGTTCTGTCAACCCAGTTTAGGATGACTCGAGTGAAAAGTTTGTAGACGACAGACAGTAAGCAGATTGAGCGATAGTTGCCGATATCGTGCAGGTCACCCTTCTTGAACAATAACACAGGCACGCTGGTCTTCCACTGAGTAGGGACCTTGCATTCAAACAGGTAACGTGTGAAGAGCCGAGCCAGTGTGTTTACGAGGGCTGGCGAAACTCTTCGAGACTCTTCGGGTGTTCTGGTCTTATCTTGTCGGACCTGATGCTGTTCGATTTTTCACCGACGAAATGGCATGTCGGTTTTCGGAAGGGCGAAGCGGTGGTACAGCATATCCATCCTCTTTTATTTCATATGACGGAAGGTGGACGTGGCTATCGACGAGATCCGAGTAGTATTCGTGAATGATTTTCTCCATTGCCTTTCTAGGCGCTGTAACTGTTCCGTCTGGGCGCCGGAGAGCAAACATTCTTGTTTTGTAATTGGCGAAGCTTCAGTGGGCTTTGCGAATGCTTTTCCCAGCCTCTGCAGCTCCGGCCATTACCGCTGCTCTTCTCTCTCTAAGATCACCTTTTATGGCCTCTCTGCATTGTTTTGCAAGTTCGGACGTTAGTTCGCGGTTGCCTGCAGCTCGTGTGATTCCATGCAGGCGTATCAGCTCGAGTGTTTCTGGAGAAAGACGTCTCTTCTTGACTTTCGAACTCTCGGCTTTCATAGCGCTAACGTGAAGACGTTGAATGAGCCGATCGTATTCTTCGTCGATATTATCGACAACGGCATCTTCCCAACAGCCAACTAATGAATTGAATAAGTCCCAGTTTGCGGTGATTCTCGGACTTCGATTTTGGAATTTAGCCGTTTTTTCTCCTTTCCCGCGAGAAATAGAATCTTGCAAGAAGGAGATGGTTATCTGATCCCGTGTAGAGTTTCAGGACAACAGCGATATCGATTGGGCAAAACCTTCTATTTACTATGGCGTGGTCTATTTCGTTATGGTACTCTCCATTCGGAGACCCCCACTTCCAGCGTTGAGGATGGCGCTTCTGGAATTGCGAGTTACCCTGGATGGTCTCGTTCGCCATGAGAAACTCAGACAGTCGCTCATCCTGTTCGTTCCATTCTAATCCGCGGGTCCCAATCTGAGGTTCTTCAGACGTTCTTCTTGGGTCTTGCCGTTGAAATCTCCAATGATGACCATGAAGAATGTGTGGTCTTCTCTGCAGAACTTCTCCAAGGTCATATAGAGCGCTTCGACTTCTTCTTCGTCATAGTTTGTTGTTTGCGCGTAAACGACGAAGGTTGTCAAAGCCAGAATTGATCCACGTCTTCTTAATAGTAAACGTCCGATTCGGGTTGTAAGCTGTTCGAATAAGTCGATGTTCATGGACAAACTCGTGTTGACGACAATGCCGACGCTGCCGACTCCTCTATTGGCACATGTTCCGAGGAACAGTTCGTCTCCGGTGTCATAGACGACGTTAAATGGGTGGCGTCGTCTCGTCTCGGCTAGACCAATGACGTCATGCCTTATCCTTCTTGTTTGCATGAGCAAGTCTTCTATCGGGGATTCGGATGTAAGTGTACGTGCATTGTAGGTACAGATCGCCACCATAGTTCTTTGTAGTCCAGGCAGTTTCCATTGGCCTTGGGATTTTAGCAGGCTCTCCGTACTCGTCCTACCCAACGCTGCGAAATTTGGTGCTCATTCGGGGTCAGGCGAATGAGGCCCGTTTTTTTTTACCGTGTTTAGCGTTTTTGATACCCACGTATAGCTTGCTGGGCACTGAACGTGGGGTCTGGGTATACTCACGGGTAGCTTGCCAGGCTCTCCCAGAGTGTACATGGAGCTTATTTGTTGGAGGCCACTCCTAACTGTCTCCCATATACTTCGCAATCACTTGATTACAGGTTTTTGGCCGAAATGACTCGTAGAATGCAATCTGCATAAGCAAGAACGCACCCACACACGCATGTATGAATACGCCTAGCAAATACAGATACTATGTGCCAAATCAGTGCAGCAGAAGCAGGAAGACCATCTCCTGGGTCCACCTGCGTCTCAGGGAAGCAAAGATCGCTTTGGGTCCGCGATTAACCTCCTATCCACCACCTGGGACGCGCCACGTAGCCTCCCGACTAACCGGCTCGTGATCCCTAATATGAGGGAGATCCGTGGACACACAGACACAACGGAGAATATTTTTGAGCAAAAGTAAGCATCTTCGCATAAAAAAAAATAAAGCTCTCGGCGTTGTTCAATCGCTGAGGGATGCGCCATGCATTCGACTTCATTAATCATCGTTCAGAGCTGATTGAATGCATATCTGGCCTTAACGATGACTCGCGGTTGCCTACCGATGTATCGCCAGCAGTGCTGTTATCCTCCCAGACAAGTATGGTACCAATTTGCCGAGCCCGGAGGGATGGAAGGCTTGGTGAGCCATGGGCGCAGAGATCGATTCCGCATCTCTGTTGCAGGACGTCTCCGACCACTGCGCCATCCGCACATCCTCGAATAGGATTCGAAGCCTTTAGCGTTTAAAACTGTCGAAGCATTCTGTATAAATCTTAATGATCCAAAAAAGGACCACAAAGACATATTCCTAATTATCACCCAAGATCTCACACCGTATCTGAGACCCAATATTTTAACGTGAGAGTGGCTCATTACCAAGGCATATGACTTGTGTGTGGTTGGTCTACAGGTGAAATACTAAATGGAATACACAGAAAGCGATGAGTGTGCAAAGAAGCAATTTTTTAATGCCACTGAAACCCAGGTTTAGTGATTCTTCTGTTTGCTTTGCGGAGACGCTTGGTTCACTAGATTGCAGCAAATTTGACCTCTCTAGACTCCGAAGAAGGTTAAATCCGCCGAAACATCAGCCTTTTGTGAATGAAGAGTGAAATAACAGCCTCGTATGTGCTTATTAAAGACAACGAATGATCAGTGCCGACGTTAATAGAAAGTCGGTCTTAGGAATTACTGAAAACGAATTATTTGCCAAGCTATTGTGTTCCATTGATTGAAGGAACTGGATCTGTCATGATGGTAGGCAATGCGGGTAATCTCACATTTACTTGAACATTACAGTCGCACATAGGTTTGCTAGTAAGCTTGCATGAGTTTGTCAAGGACTCTTCCCTATGACTTACTTTCTCCTGCTTTTTCCTTCTGCAGAACTGCTATGAATCTAGTTCCCATATACACCAGTTGATTCTTGCGATGTTGGCCTTTGAAATATCAAAGAGTCGAATCAGATGGAATATAGGGGTATTATGAGGAAAGGGTATTCCATCTCGTAGTTCTTCACGTCTTTCTTATCGCTCCACTTCATTCGATATTTGACTCCAAGGAGTCCAGAAGAGCACGAGATCGCAGAAAACTTAAACTCTGCAGCAGTGAATGGATGACCTGAATCATTCCCGCTAAGAACAGGGATACGTCGTTGAAACGTTTTCAGCAATGCAAAGTTAGTACCACTCTCGCGTAACTTAGGAATAAACCAACAGATTGCATATTTATGCCGAAGTTAGATTTAGAAGGACATGATACTTCATCTACACGATGGCAGTAGAAGAACAAACAGTTAGCACGGTAAGTACCTTTGTAGTATCCATTCTTTAAACAGTGAATGAAAAATGCTGGTGAAAAATTATGCCTGAGGTTTCATAACGTCAATTGTCGGCTTCTTGCCTCATACCAAATTTACACGGAATAAGATTGGCTATGTCGTACTTTACAACTTTATTCACTGATATTGAGGACCTCTCCGATTTAAAAAACCTAGAAAGATCATACAACGCCTATCCGAGGATTCCAGGGATAATCAAGTGGACTAATGTTCAGTGCTATACACAAAGAAGACCAAAAATCCTGAGGCAGTTGCCGAACCTGCACAATAATTGCTAGGACTTTGTGGATGACGGATGTGAGCAAGCGACTCGAATGAAAGAAGTGGAGGAATTCGCACAATAAATGAAGTGTGTCAAATAAACAATAACCCCACCGACTTAGCAGGTGTCAATTCAGGAAGGCAGAACTGCTCGAACGCGAAACAGAACTGCAACATTTCTTGTTCGATCTTCGGCCCGGCGCAGAACTTTGGATAGTGCTTGTAGTACCTATACATAACTCCTCTTTTTATTTAAAGCACTAGTTCTGCTTGTTATAGATTTTAGCGAAAGATAAACAATGTTCGGTATTACCTCTGACAGTAGGTGAGCACTGGTATAACGCCGGCAGTTGATGTACATGCTGAGGGATATGATTTACAGAATGGAATCTGAATTAAAACCTTTGCTTATTTATTCATTTTTTGTTCTTCTCTGTCTACACTAATACTTAGTGAACTTGTGGGTATTCAATAAATGCCGATTTAAAAACGCCTGGCATAACTATGTTTTTACAGGATAAAAAGAGAGAGGCGTATAGCGCAGTGATTAGAGCCACCTAACAATACACTTGTTGGTCATCGCTGGTTCGATTCCATGTACCAGACTCACTAAGCCTTCAATCTCTCCACAGTCTGCAAATTGGTGGCAGATTTGTCAAGGAGGGTAGAAGCACTGAATTAATAGATTGTTAGGCCACCGCGAGTCACTGTATAGGCCGTCAGGTATGCATTCATGACCCCTAATGATAGTAGAGGACGTGGAATGCATGGTGCACCGTTCAATGGTTGATCAATCCAGAAGGCTCTATTCTTTTTTTTTAAGAATAAGAAGGACTGCACTACATATAAAGCAATTTAAAAAAACGTAGAGGTACCCCTTCATTGATAAACTGGACGAGGTTGATACAGAACTTTATTCGGCTGTTTCGATTTCTACGTCTTCATCAGAGCCGATCATCAGAGTCGATGGTCTGCAGTGGTTCACCTTCTCGATGCGGTGTCATCGTCATCGTGTCAAGTCGGATCATTCACACCAAGATTAGATGAAAGTCGGTTTACAATTACATCCCTCACTTCGACCACCTTTATCAGCTTTGAAAACGCCACCGGTATTGATTGAAATTTCAGGATTAGCCTATGCACCAGTGAACACCGCTGACTCTTCCGCTTGTGTTGACAATAGGATCATATTCTCTCCGAAGACGACTCTAATAAGTAATTCCATGATTCATGCTCGAAAATCCGTCTATCGAACACTCAGCATTTGAAAACTCGAATATCGGAAATTAGAGTATCCAACATTCGGCATTCGAAAATTCGGTTATCAAAAAATCGGCACTCGAAAATTCCGTTGCCGAAAACTCGACATTCGGAAATTTGGCTATCGATGGCCTTCGTCATTCGAAAATTCGGCACTCGGAAATTCGGCCATCGAAAGAGCTCGGCGTTCGAAAATCAGGCCATCGAGTACTCCGCACTAGTTCGCCTATCGAATATTCGGCGTTTGAAAATCCGGCGCTCAAAAATTCTGTCATGGAATATTCGGCATTCAGAGGTTTAGCCTTCGAATATTTGTTACTGGCAAATTCGAGTATCGAATAACCGAATTATTTGAATGCACTAGTATTATAATGTACTTCATACAAAAGTGTGCTCGTAGCGCCGTGGTCAGAGGTGTTGTATAATGCACACGTAGTCGTGGTTCGACTCCAAGTCCTTGGCTAGCCAAGACCTCGAGCTTTCCCGGATCTACAAATTTGTACCAGACTTATCGGGAAGAATAAAACCACTGATTTATACACCGGTTGAATCTCGTAATTCAATATATAGTGAAAACATTCATTCAATAAGCTTAAGGATGATTCGAATGGAGACCAATTCATGGCCCATTCTTAAGGAGTTGATTAACGTCAAGTACTACATCCTTATTCCTTACTATTCTTTAGAGGAATAACAAACCGTTGTTTGAAGTCTTACATTTTCAACGATTCAAACAACTGATTCACAAAAATGACAATACGGCGCTGGGCGTCGATTAATCCCTGAAGGACGTGTCATTCCACTCCATTTCGAATTTTAGAGTTGGTTGAGTGCACATTTGGCTTAAATAGTGATTTGGTGGATCCTCTTGATATGTCGTGTAAGGGCTGCTTTCCTCAAAGAAGAGTCCGGTACCAATCTGCTGGTCTCGGAAAGAAGGAATGCCTGGTGCACTCGAAGTGTGGGATCGAACCAGCGACCTATCCAGTGTGTATTGCGAGGCAAGTTTAACTACTGTTCTACACACCCGTTATTTAAGAAAATATTAGACTGAAAGCCTTGAAAACCCATTCATTGAATGAATATTCAAATGCAAGATGTTGAATCAGTACTAAACACAGCAATATGTTCAGCCTTCTCGCATATTCGGACTCATGCGAATAAATGTTTTAACACTGAAAAAATAAAGGATAAAGTTCTCGGTGTTGATTAATCTCTGAGGGATGCGTCATGTATTCGACTTCATTAAACATCGTTGGAGGTGATTGAATGCATATCTGTTCTTTATAATGACTCGGCGTGGCCTGCCGATGTATCGAGCCAGTGTTGCTATTCTCTCAGAAGGGTATGGTACCAATTTACCGACACCGAATGGATGGAAGCCTTGCTGAGCCATGGGCGCGGGGACCGATCCCAAATGCGCGCTGCAGAGCACCTCCGACCGCTGCGCCACACGCGCCATTGTTTTAACACTACTCGTTGAAATATAAGTATGATACTGTTATACCAAGGCTCAATAAACACAAATCGTATTCTGTCACTGGAAATCAAGTCAGCTAGAAAAAACTAGGCAAACAAACACCATTGCTAACATCGCTTAACGGAACTGCATGGAAGGTATTTCTTAATATGTTAAATGACTGTGTGCAAAGAGCTCAGGGGTATTAATGGCGTCCACCACGCGGAAGCTCTAGTTCGAGCACGCATCGAGCAAACCAATCTCCCGATCCCTTAGTAGTTGGCGAGTTGCTGCCAGAATTGTCCACAAATAGCTGGATTCTTCCAATTCCTAAATGCTGCCGAATTTCTGTGAAGAAGATCTGCAAACTCCATAGCACGGGCATCCAGGAAGAGCCCACTTAGCAAGTATGCGACGAGGTTCATGACGAACGGAAACCCTCAAGCAGTAATCGAATGCACACGCAAATCGGGAAAAGCTTCATGAATGATGGGTATAAGGAGACGAATTGAATGAGAGAATTGCTGGAATCGATACAAGTTTGTCGGGTCGTGTAAAAGAAGTGAAACAAAAAACATTGAAAGCCTTCACCTCTTCCACACTGACATCACCGTGGCAGTTCTTAATAAAACGCTCTCGATGCACAACACAGTATTCGCTGACAAACACCAGTACAGATTTCTAAAATTTACCGACTCATTTGATCAATCGAATTTTCATGCATAATGTGCCAATACTTTTTGCCTCGTCGTTTCGCATTATATTAAAGCAGAGTTTAGTATTACAGAGCGCAAATAATGCAGTGATTAGAAGTCCTGTACAATATACAAGTAGGCGCTGGTTTTACCGTTCGCCAGGCCAATCAAGCACCACACCTGTGGGATCGGAAAATATGCACTAAATTTGGTGTGGTCCCAGAGGTGTGGTGCTTTATGGGCCTTGCGAACGGTAAAACTAGCGACTACTTGTAAATTGCACAGCATTTCTAATCACTGCGTTATTTGCGAATAGTATTCTCCGATCCATAAAGGCGGTAATGTGATAAGGCTTGGGACGTACTACACTGGCTGTTCCATAATTATAGGTAAAATTACGCTTGCCCGGCACCCGAGTGAGAAAGGTGTTCGAACTCACACAATAAACGAAAATTATTTGTATTCAAAAGAGATATAATAATACCTACGGTCTCTGTATGATGATTATCGAACAGCTTAGTCGCGACACTACACGATGTGTTCGCAGGTTACGGATAGATGGCCAAAGATGAAAAAGTGTTTGTCTTTCTACACAAGTGAGTAAACGAGATGGAATCACTTTCGCCACCGGCACAGAGCGATTTCTGTCTTCGGGATATACGCAATTGTATCTATCCATACCTACGTAGATGTGGATGCTTCCAATCAAATTGTATCCTGTACTTCGATTCAGCCTTCCACCAAAAATCGGGTGACTGGAAACTAAATAGAAGCTCCCAAGATCGACTTTCTATTAACTTCGGCATTGGATTATAAATATGTTGTTTTCTTTTTTATAGCAATAGCGAGGTTGTTATTCAGCACATCTTTAATTCCTTACAAATATAACACATACAACACAACGGTAGCTGACGTTTCGGCAGTATCGCCTTCTTCAGAGCCTGGAACGGTAAACTAATAGGTAGTTTATTAGGTCAAATGCTTCAACAACGCAAATAGAAAGATGAAAATCTGAACAATAATTACACGATCACCGCTTTCTCCCACCATTTTCTATCTGCCTTCCACCAAGGAAGAACAGCCGCTTCGAGTTGCATATGGCTGATAACTGCACCACCCCACATCAAAAATCTGTCATGAGATACGGTGCTACATCATGCGTTATCTCAAAACATTCTTCCCTGCTATTCATTCTCGGATTTTTGGAATTTATCCAAAAAACCTGGAGAAATTTGCGCGTTAGTGTTTTAGTCTCCCGTGCGATGATAGCGACTTTTGCATTAATTACATTACATTTACATGAATTCAAACACCATTAGGCTATCACATGGTGATAAGGGAGAGAGTTCGTAGTTATTCCCTCCCCCCTCCGTTAGATGTTATGATAACTGAAGAACATCTTAGTGATGTTACCCTTTATCGCCCATCATCTGAAAGGAAATACAAAAGTCAACACCGAAAACTAAACAATCAGTGGATCAAAGTGGCAAAGGCGGCAGGCTCGTCGGTTATTTCACACTTTAAAGTGAGCAGACCAACATACCCCGCCTTATACCTACTTATTAAAACACATAAGTTGGTATCACCTGATGATGTTGCGTCAACTAATCCGTTATCATTTAAGGTTAGACCTATCATCAGCTGTGTAGACAGGCCAACGGATAGGATAACCTGGTTTCTAAGGTTAATACTAATCCAGTTGCTTAAACCTATTCCAGCTCACTTCACGAAAAAGAAATGTTCCTAGAATGTCTACGTAACGCGTCTCCTAACAGCGCGTACGTGATGGAGTCCTTCGATGTTACCGCGTTGTACAACAACGTATCAAATAACTCCGCAATGCAAGCCATCTTCGAACTTCTTGTTGGACATGAAGGACGAATAAATATGCATGGCTTGTCCATCCAGAAGCTAATGACTCTCTTAAACGAATGCGTAAACTGCTCGTTTTCAGAAGGTCTGGGAAATATTTCGCGCAAATAAGGGGATTGGCAATGGGACAGCTACTGATAGCAAGCCTTGCCATTGCGTTTATGTCCAGAATGGAAGCCCCCGTTCTCGGTCTCCGGCCGCTACTCTACTGCAGTTATATAGATGATTGTTTTGTCGTCTTCTGTACACAGGAGGAGATGGACAAATGCTTTGAATTATTGAACGAGTAGTAAGAGTACATCAAGTTCCCGGAGAAACAGAAAGACAACTGGCTCCCGTTTCTAAGCGTTCAAATTAACTTATCAAGTAACGGTTACATGACAAAGTGGTACCGAAAGCCAAGTAATAAGAACATCCCCGTTCATTTCCTTTCTTCCGATCCTTCACACACAAGAAGGGCGCCCGTGAGAAACATGTTTCAAACAGCCACCTCAGTGTTCACAAGTAGGGAACTAAAGGAAGAATCGCACAACTTGGCTGGAGAAATAGCCAACTCCAATGGCTACGAAATTGTAACTCCACGAGATCAGTTTCTAAGGCCAGCGACTCCCCAAAACGAAGGGTTTGGCCGAAACAAAGTCCCGTTTATCTTGCCCTTCATTAGCGCTGAAATAAGTGTAGCGATAAAGTGATGCTTAAGAAGGGCAGATCTAGAGGAATCGGTAGTGATATTTGAAATACCACCGGATACTCTACGTCGTCAATTAGTTCGTAACCGCCTGTGTGACCGCCTATGTGAAACAAGTTGCGTAATTTGCCCTTACGGCAGGGACGGTGATTGCATGAGTTCAGGTACGATATACCTGATCTCTTGTAATAATTGCGGAGATGAATATATTGGCGAAACGGGCAGATCTTTGTGTATCCGCATAAAAGAACACCTAGATGGCAAACGAAAACTAAGGCAAAGTATCCCACTAGGCACGCACAGGATACAAAAGCATAGCGGAGACGATTTTGAAGTAAAAGTCAATATCCTTACACAGGAGACTAAAACACCAGCGCGAAAACTTCTTGACGCTTTTGGATAAATGCCAAAAACCCCGCAATGAATGGCAGGGAGGAATGCCCAAAGGTCATACGCGACCTGACTCCGTATGTTCGTATCAATTTCTGATGTGGGATGGTTCAGTCATCGACCATATGCGGCCCTGAGCGGTTGTTCTTCCTCGGTGGAAGACAGGTGAAAAAACCGGTGGGTTTTTCGAGAAGCCGTAGACCTTGTAATTAATGTTTAGATTTCCATCTTTCTGCTTGTGTTGTTGAAGCGTTTAACCTAGTAAATTACTTATTAGTGTACCCTTCCAGGTTCTGAAGAAGGCGATACTGCCGAAACGCCAGCTACCGTTATGTTGTATGTGTTATATTTGTAAGGAAATAAAGGTGTGCTGAATAACAACCTTGCGATTGCTGTAAAAAAGAGAATAACAGATTTAAATGGAAGCTGTTCGCACTACTGTTAACAACTGAGCGCACGTCTAGTTTAGCAACGCCCGGTTAACCATCCATGAAGCATGAGTATGAACCACTCACCGTAAAACCTAAGCTACCTGTAGGTAACTTTTGTTTCATACCAAAATTGTGATTCGAAGCGCAGTAATGTCATGCAGTAGCGCACCCTTTGTCGTGTTCGACCCGGCAGCGCATCAAACTAGGCCTCCAGTTATCCGAGCTGGCAGAGTGGGATCGGACTTAACTGCGAAAACCGTTTTCGATCGACGATAGCAGACTATTGACTCTAATGAACATTCGGATACGTTCTAATAGAGCTATTCAAGAATATTTCAAAAACCAAATTTCCTATAACCTTGGTATGACAGATCAACATGTGTTTGAATTGTTAAGTTTCCACGAGGTTGATAAATAAATCTTATTTGGTTAACGTTTTCACGTCTTCATCTTTATCAGAGCCGATGATCCGAGTCGATGGTCCGTAGTTGTTGGTCTTCTTGATGTGGCGTTTTTATCTTCGTCTCGAGTCGGATATTCCTCAGGCGAGCACCTCGCGAATGAGGCACACTCACCCCCTCGTGAAGAAAGAATAATAACACCTCGCGTTTGCTCAACAAAAATACGAAGAAAATTACTTGATCAATGCCGAGGTTAATAGAAAGTCGGTCGTGGCAGTTAAAACACATTTGTCAATCTCGCGTGAGCTCAACAATTTTGATGCATATTTAAGACCCCCGAGAAAAATTGCTCGACATTCAACGACATTCATGAAGAAGACAAAATCCCGGATTCACAGCTGAATCCAGACCGCAATCAGAAGAGCCTAGTGCAAGGAACACAAGGAACCGATAGAAAGAAGCAGCGGGATCCGGACAGTGTGTGAAATTGACTCACAGAAGCAAAAAAATAAACCATAAACCTTGTAGTAACAATTAAAAAACATCAGCATTTTTGTAATACATTCGAAAAGCTAGAAACCTTCCAAATGGGCAGAATTTTTTAAAATTCTGTACCAAACTATCTATTAGCACTCACCAACAAAATGGTAAGTACAAAAGTTGAGTACTAAACAACGAAAAATACTGTGCGAAAATACCTATGTTGGTAATTCTACTGACCTCATCTTCAATACTAACTGAAGCAGGTTGTGGCGTCGTTGTCGTACTTGTCGGAGTTGTCACTGTGCCGCCGGCCTGCTACGGTCATCATCACCAATAAGAACCGAGTATAACTCGAAAGACCGACTTTCTATGAACCTCGGCATAAATAGTTGATATATTTATTTATGTGATCTTATAAACTGATCTTCTTAAGCTGACGCGTGTACCAACCTTGCGTCAGCTTAAGAAGATCAGTTTATAAGATCACATAAATAAATATAAGAACCAAGTATGTTTTTCTTTCTTCCTACCTGTTCGGGTGACTTGCTCGGTTTCGGCAACCGTAGAAGGCTACCGAGTTGCTCCTCGTTTTGTGTTGAACTGTTATAATCAGGTTCGTACATCAATGAATTCAATGACGTGTTGAATATCGGTGGAGAAGAAGTAGGAGGAGATCGTGAAAAACATCCGCATTTTTTTTCGCATGAATGTCTACTTTATCCTCTTTCTTCACACCCACATCGTTTACTCATCATACTATTAGAAGAGATGGTTTATGGATGATCTAATCAATAAAAGGTTTAAACATTACAATAATTAAACTCACGAGTAGCATCTGCCCCGGTTTTGATCATAGGTGGAATAATGAACGGTGGTTCAGCGGCCTCCTCACGAATGGCATCTGGCTCGGTTTCGATCATGGCTGGGGAAGCAAGCGGTTGTTCAGCAGTCGCCTTCACACGAGTTGCATCTGACCCCCTGATTTCGATCATGGGTGGGGTAAAAAGCAATAGTTCCGGAGTTGCTTTCCCACTAATGGTATCTGATGTGGTGGCTTCAATCATGGGTGGGGTAACAAGCAATGGTCCCGGAGTTTCTTTATCACGAATAGCATCTGACCCGGTGATTTCGATTATAGGTGGGGTAACAAGTGGTGGTTCAGTGACTGCCCTAACATGAGTAGCATCTGACCCCGTTTCGATCGATTCGATCGCAGGTGGAATAACGAGCGGTATTTCTGCGGTTGCTTTTCCGCGAATAGCATCTGAACCGGTTTCGAGCATGGGTGGGATAACAAGCGATGATTCAGGAGTTGCTTTCTTACGAATGGTATCTGATTTGCTTGTCAGAATGGGTGGAATAATAAGCAGTGGTTGAGGAGTTATACTAAGCTTGGGTGGAGTAACAAGTCGTAGTTCAGCACCATTCCTAGACGGTAATGGAGGGAAATCAGCGCAGAAACTGAGGCTTGGACGACGTCGACATGCACGCTGTAGACAAAAATGTTAAAAACCTTAAGCAACTTCAAAAAATAAAAATTTTCTTTCAACTTTAAAATTTTCCAATTACTGTTTTTCCTTCATAACTCTTAACACAACAGGATAGATTAATCGATTAAGAACACTACGCTCCTCGATTGCGCCAGAGATATATCTTCGACCTTGGTTGATCTATTGCAGTTGATGAACTTCAACAGAAAAATGTTTCGCATATTTTGCTTCAATCTTTATCCATGAAAAAACAGAAGGCTAGATGCAAAACTACTGCTTTCAACTGGTTCGTTCTTCACCAGTAGTGCCACCGGAATTGCGAAGGAGTTCGTCATCTCTAGAGGTAAACCTAGCAACAAGTAAATCTGTGATAGGACACAGCACTGGCACAGAAGTTGGCCGTGCTGGGTAACTTCTCGTAGAAAGAAGTACAAACAAAGGATATCATACTACTAGCACGATGATCTTCGCACCTTTTAAGCTAGAGACACGCACCGAACAGCTGCGATCCATAATAGGACTGACTGAAGTTTGAATTGTCAATACTACAGCTACTCAATGATTAAAACCTTCCAGAAGAACCTTTCGACGATTTACCATAATTTCTCGGTCAGTAAAGTGTTTCGGGAGTTCAGGACCTCATAACTCCATAGAAGAGATTTTGCTCTATCGGACTAATTGTGTGTAAGATTTCTATACGGTGTCCTTTCAAATTCAAATATGTGTAAAACCCGGATTTTTAAAAATTGCAAACAAAATTTCCAGCTTTTAGAAGTTCCAACAAAAGAAGATGGGCTAAACTCCACCGACAACTAACATTCTTAAACTGCTAGTTTTCGCGTTAAACGATTTAAAGGACTTGTGAGACCATACGCACTGGATTCAAGGAATCAGAAAATAACCCATTCTAATTGGACATATCCTATCTGATTTTGAACTTAATACTGAACTGAAACAAAAACCACTAGAATCTGCTCATTTTTACCGAGAAGATTCAGGTTTATCGAGAACTCCATTCATCGAAAAACTAGAATCGTAGAAAGCGCAGTGGTTAGAGAAATGGTGCAATACATGAATGTTTTGAATGAATGTACAATTTAGTTAGTCATCGAGTAACTCGAAGGCCACTAGAATAGTTTGCTTGTGTACTTCGCACCAGAAGCCCTCAGTTAGGCACGATGGTTCAAGCAATACGAAAGAGCATTACACATTTTCTTTGATGAAGTTTCTCTGTGTCTAGCAAGCGGGTCACCTTGATGGACTCATTCGTTCGATTGGTTTGCTCTTGCCTAGGCTAGCATAATGGGAACGTCAAGTTTTTTCTCAGCTTGGGAGAGCCGGCTAAGGTGGTAAATCACTGCTGTACGGTGAGGAACACACTCCAAGATGAAACTGTGAACTGTTGAGAAGACAGTCAAGAAATTTAATTTGGAAATAGCTTCCTCTGCTTTTCTCCCATAAAAGTCTTTTCAAACTAACCTCGATTAGAATCGTTCTGAATTTTTCTTGTGCGACCACAGTAGCAGGTAAGGAGTAGACCAGCACAAGAAGAAGCATATAGATCGAATACTTTCGTTTTCTGACTGGGTGCAAAACAATATTCAAATAGGAGTCTACTTCAACCGAGCGATGGTGAAATAGAGAAATTGAGAGATTAGGCGAAGTGGGTCGGTCGGATGACGCAGTAGTGAAACTGCGCTTCGTTCAAAACAGCAACAGATTGTCGAGTCTGTGAAAATTCAGAGGTCTGAGAAAATCTTTGCGTCCTTTCAAGGTTATCACGCCATACTCAAATGCCACAGTAGAACGGCTTGTCTAACAGGTTTTGGATGACAATACTTCTCAACAACAACTCCTTTCACATCAAACGCTCTAGATTTACTGCGTTAGCCAGAAGGAATAGACCACGCTTTGGAGCAATTCTCACGAAACAACAGAAACTCCATTTCAAAAAAAAATTGTAAACTCCCAGTATAAAACTTTCAAGGGAGAACAGCATGTATGTAAAGGACAGCTTTGAGCCACAAAAAGTCAACACCATAGCTTCCGCATATCAGTTAAACAACAACACTCTCGCGGCGAGTGACACCTATATGCGTCATAATGTTTTCGCGGGAGTGGCTGGGAAAACACCTACAGATCTCNCACCATAGCTTCCGCATATCAGTTAAACAACAACACTCTCGCGGCGAGTGACACCTATATGCGTCATAATGTTTTCGCGGGAGTGGCTGGTAAAACACCTACAGATCTCATTTTCTTTCCGGCGGTTTGTTTTAAGACAAAGAACTATTTTCCTACACGTTAACATTTTATTTTATTGTATGTTATTGTTTCTTATCGACAGGGTATGATGTGAAATACAACCACCATAATGCTGAGATATTTGCAAAGCTTGGGCCGCAGACAAGATCGAACCACGATTGCCCTTCCCGAGGGCTCACGTGTTACTCATCACGTAGTTATTTATATGTTCCTATAAACTGATCGTTTTGAGCTAATGAGAGATTGATGTAGTCGTTTTTGTTGGTTGATGGGTTGACGTTTCGGCGATTTTGCCTTCCTACGAGAAATGATTCCCACTTGTAACAGCACGGCTGTGAGGAGGGCGAACTTGCCAAAATATCAACCCATCAACCAACAACAACAATAAAAACAACCACAACAACGACAACTATACCAATTTCGCACCATCTCAAAAAGATCAACTACAACGTTGCTAAGATATTTGCAAAACTCTGGACCGCAGGTGTCTAACTCCCTGGAAAGGACTATAGCGCGTTCGTTCCCCACCATAGACACCTGCGGTCCAGAGTTTTGCAAATAACTCAGCAACGTTGTGGTTGTATTTCGCTTAGTAACCTGCCATGAAAATTATAGAAGGCAGAAAATAAAACGTTAAACATCAAAAAGATCAGTTCATGAGAATATATAAGTAAATATACCAATTATTTATGCCGACGTTTATAGAAAATCGGTCTTCTGAGTACTAATATATAAGTAAATATACCAATTCCAAGTGCTGACAGTACATCACAGTAGTACTGGAAGAAAGAAAAGGCAAGCGAGGGCCTCGTTAGTGCGGTGGATAACACATGAGCCCCTGGAAAGGGCAATCGCGAGTTTAAATCTGGTCTGGGGGCCAAGCTTTGCAAATATCTTAACAACATGGTGGTCATTTTCCCAAACTTCTTGTATCCAACTGATAGCTTGTAGCACACAGATATTGTGTGGGACGTCTGTCGATAAAAGCTCTATCCTACACTTAGAAAAACACAAAAACCCTTTTCCGTATGAGTTCACTAACCAAGAATTTAGGTGCTAGTCGATTACTATTTCAATTCTGATTGCTATAGTGAATGATAGTTACCGCATAGAGTGTGTGGCATAAAAATTACTGAACTAAAGACCCAACTGGAAGTTGCGAAACACTTCCAAGTGCTGACAGTAATGTGTTCGCATGATGGGCCATAGTAACATAAACATCATTCGTAACCATAAAACGACAGATCAAAGTCTTTTCTATAACCCATCCATGTTCGCAACCCATAAAGTCCTCTAGTTATTAAAAAATTATTGTTTACGTTCAGAAAACCAGTAAGACCATAGAAGGTGAAAATTAGGCATCGCCCAGCCGTAATAAACCCGAGATTAGGTCTCGTCGCGAGAGTGTTAAAGGTGCAAAAAGATAAATCGCTGGGCATTGATCAATCCCACCATGGATTCCGCTCCATTCGTAGCATCGTAGTGTGAATGATTACATATTTAGCCTACACAATGGCTTCCAAAGGCCTACCAACAAATCAAGAGTGTTACAACTTTTAGTAACTGCTTAATCTTTTTTATGAAAAGGTGAAGTCACGTGAGCTCCAGATAATTTAGCAAAATTGGGACTTTAGGTGGGCTTCGAAGCTGCGATTACCCTTACCAGGGTGGAGCTTACGAGTTATACACCGCACTAACCGAGGCCCTTGCTTAAGCTCTCAGTCAGTTTCTTATTATATCGGTGCTATCAGCAATCACCCAAAGAATAGGTAGTAAATAAAAGTAAGAACATTGTGATTTCGACTATAGCTTCAGCTTAACTGGGTTTAATGTCGATTTGTGCTCCCAAGATGATTTGCGTTGACAGGTGATTGCTGATGGAACCAATAGAGTAAAAACATGGCTGAGACATAGGCAAAGCAAGAGCCTCCGTTAGTGTGAGAGATAGCATAGGAGTCCACGGTGAGCCCGGTCGCTGTTTCGAAACCCCAGCTGAGGTTCGCAGTTTTCTTCATGTCTCAGTATCCTTATAATTAATTGGAATTTCACAACATACCCTGCCATTAAGAAGAAAAAGGCAGTAAATAAAAGAGTTAAGATTGTAATTGGACAGTGTTTTCCTTACCAGACAAACTTGATTAGCAAAAGGCGCGGGGGCCGAACCAAAGAATTCGTGTTTATTATAAGGCGTTACTAACCACTGCGCTATACCCGAGAAGATTGTCTTAACATACAATTCCAATGGAGCAGCGGAAATAGCAGTTCTCTAAATTCAAAGTTTCTTTTAAATACCCGCAAGAGTCATTTCTTCGAACAGACTGAAAGCTAACTTCACCCTCTCGACACATGGTTATGCTTAACTTTACATGATTCACTGAGTACTACACCTAATTCCCCGCCGCTCGAGTTTTTTTCAGCAAATTATGAATTGTTAGGAAGCAGGTACTGCTGGTTCAACGCTTCCCTGGGCCAACTAAACCTTTCATGCCTCCAGAATCAGGAAATTTTACAACACTGGCCTGGAAGAAGCTGACTCCCTCCAATCCACAAAGGAGAGCTCCAACGTAGCTATCTCGGAATTCGAAGAAAAATCGACTCCACCAGCATTCAACGAGGTTCATGACGAAGACCAAGAAATCCTCAGGTATAAGAACCTACCGCAAGAGAACGACTGCTGTCGATAATGGATGCGAGGAAAAGAATAGAATTCAAGAAGTGCTGAGGCCAGAATATGAGATGCTAAGTCACATAATAAAAAAACATGGGTAGGAAATAAATTTCCTAAAAAAAATATGGGTAGGAAATAATTTTCCATGAGCCACTTCCCGCACTTGTGTGTTAGGTAAGCTATCGATACAAAACGTGTGGAAAACAGACTCCTTGTAGCAAAACAAACAGTCCGAAATATGCATTACAGTCGAAGCACGCGATCCATTCAGCCCATCTACGTTGGTAGGTAGGCATACATGTGATCACTTATTTGTTAAAGCATTTATGTAAAGTCTACTTAGTGGGTCTGAATTGCGAAACAAAATCTGAACTGTCCAGATCATCGGCTGAGTATTTTATTTTACGTGCAAAAGGATACAAGGGCACAATGTTATGTACATGACGACGGATGAACGGATGAATAGCGATATCACAAAGCACAAAAATCACTCAGGTATCAAGCCTCAAAGCATCAACGTGTCAAAATGTGGATCAGTAAAAAGCAAAAAAGAGAAAAAAACGAATATTGACAAAGTGAGTAATACCCAAAAAGTACTAGTAACGTATTAGTCAATGATGATTGTGAACGCTGAACAACTTGAACGATAAACTAACGTGAGGAAAAAAACATGAAAATCCTAGAGCTCTATCAAATCGCTGAACAAAAGAACAAAGAAGCCCAATGGTTACCACTTACTAGAGAAATATCCTTCTTAAAATACTGGTAGCTTTTTAATATTTACATACTGTCCTACGCTACCTAAGAAGCAATTCTCGTTGCCTAGAGGGTATTAGGTTAGGTAAAACTGAAAGTCTTCTAAAAGGGAAATGAACTTTAGTAAGCTAGTGTGGTAATAACCTTTACGCCACTCATCTCTAGCACCGCTCGGTGCATTTTCATTTCTTACAACTGAATACCCCGTTCAACAAAACTTTACTACTATCCCATTTCATTTAACTTGAAATCTACCTGCTTCATTTAAAAACGACTACTTCACTTACGAAAACTTATTAAAAGAGCGCTTGGAACATGATAGATGATCGATAGAATGCCCATTGCTTTACCGCTTGAACTTAATTGCTTTGATCTCATCCCGGTAAAAGGTTACAGAACCCCTCGTTCGTCGCTGAACATCTCGCAGTTTCGACGTGAAAATAATCAAAAACACCACCCACTTCTGGTCTGTGTTATGAAAGCCGGTGAATACCCACACTTAGCAACTAATTTCAGGAGACTAGAGAAAAAACAAAGAGGAAACCATTAGGAATACAAATATGCTAAAAGAAAAAGTTAAAAAAGAGCTGGAAGGAAAAATGGCTCAAAGCACTGAACGTTAAGGAAGTCATTAACGACTGTACGAAAGGCAGCAGAGAAACGCATCACTGATGCTACTCAAGTACATTATCATATTTCTTTAACAAATAGCGATGATAACTAGCGGTGAACTGAAAACATTTACATCTTAAGTAAGCCTATTTTAAAACTTGATTTGTAGGCTTATACTAAAACAAGTTTTTTTAAAGCAAATAGTTTATGGTTAAGCTTACTTTCAAAATAATAAATAAGTCTACCCTGTCGTGTGACAAATAGGAGGAAAATCTTCGGGATCATTTGCATCTGGCACTCGAGCGCTACTTTCGGCTGGCTTGGGTCGATCTGATGAAAATCGATATATGCCAGCAATGAGTTCAACTATAAGAAGTGATATCTTACTTGGATCTCCCCTACTTGTATCGGTAGCACTGATACCGATACGATGCATTTTCACAAGGTCACATTCACCTCCAGAACTTAGCACACGATAGCAATACAGGAATCCGTCGGTGGTAGCCACGAGTAGATGAGGTTGTCCTTTGATCCTAAAACATTCTAATGTCGTTCCCCGATAATAATAAACACAAAAAAAAACTAACGTCGGCATAGCAGCCACATTCTTTTTGTCAGATCCTGGTAGAATGGCGGTAGCAAAACTTCGCTCAACAGTCATAAGCTCGTTCACCTGAGCAGGAAGATAGCTTGACGCCGCTTGGGTTAAATAACCGAACCACCCGCTTGAAGACTCCGACGCAGGCTCTCTATAGTATAACACTGATTGTGAACTACTTCATAGGAAGAAAAGTAAAAGGATAAGAGAGAAAACTCCCAAAGTTGATCAATCCCTGAGGGATGCGCCATGTATTCGACTTCATTAAGCATCGTTAGAGATGACTGAATGCATATCTAGGCTATAAAATGATTCGCGGTGGCCTACTGATATATCGACGAAGTGTTGCTATCCACCTAGACAGGTCTAGTACTAATTTCCTGACCCCAGAAGGATGGAAGTCTTGGTGAGCCTGGGGAGCAGGATCAAACCCGTGTTTTGCAGAGCGGCTCTAACCACTACTCCACACGCGCCCCAAGATGAAAAGTAGCCAAGTAAAACATGTAGCTTTGGAATTAAAATGGAGTGTAAATGCTATGGAAAAACTCCACACAGCAGCCAACCAATGTCTAAGGAATCAATTGTCAAGTTAGAAATTGAGGACCGCAAACTAACGCCTTCTTTTCCTGGTCTTCTGACTTATCCAGCTTAAAAACATGAACCGTCTCAGTGTTACTTGATGAGCACAGATACGTTGAGTCGGCAGAAAAGGCAAGTGAATAGATGGTTACACATCTGAAGCCATGTACAAAACATTTTACTAGTTAAAGTTGTGTAAGTAAAAAATACGGTCCAAACATTGCCTGGACATTCCTCGACGAAACTCGAACAGCCTTGTACCTTGTGGGACGCTGTAGACTCGAATTACTGTCCCCTTAGTGCTAGCCGTTGCAAGCATTGTACCTAAATAGATTTAAAATATCTTCCAAATCCTAATCAATTAAACCTCAACAAGAAAAAGAAAATTGGAACTAAACATAACTGTCCGACTCACATATACCCTAAACTAAACGAGGTGTTTTCATCCCTTTTAAACTAGAGATCGTAGACTGCCTTTTCACTTACACTGCCATTTTTCCAATTCAACACATGTTAGTTTAATCTTAAACGCAATAAATTAACTCATCAAATTGGTTATTGAAACATTAAAATTCAAATCCTAAAAAACCACTAACAAATTCACTTCCAACATAGAGTAACTTCAATTAGAATTTCAGTAGAGTATATTAAACATCCTTCCAACGGTTTACAGCTTCATCGTCGCCGGGAGGTGTTCCTGGGTGTAGAACTCCGATGTACAGCAAGGGATTCACTCCTTGGCAGAGTCTCCCAGGCTGAGTCCGGCGTTTCCATTAGGAATGCCTAGGTAAGAGTAAACCAATACCAGGATCTGTTTATTTATATGATCTTATAAACTGATCCTCTTAAGCTGACGCGAAGCTGGTACAGGCCTTCGTTGCTTTTGATGTTGTTGGTCGATGGCTGTTTCGGCGACTTCGCCTTCCTCAGAGCCTGGACGTACTTTATATTAGAATATTTTTATTATTCAGTGAAAAAGAAAGGTTAAAATATTAATGAAGATCAAAAGAACGCGTGGGCCAGTCCCGCACGTAACATCACGGTGAGTGGCCTTTCTGTTCAATATGGCGCCTATTTGAAAGTTTGATCTTCATTAATACTTTAACCTTTCCTTTCCACTGAATAATAAAAATATTCTAATATAAAGTACGTCCAGGTTCTGAGGAAGGCGAAGTCGCCGAAACGCCAGCCATCGACCAACAACATCAAAAACAACGACAACGAAGACCTGTACCAACTTCGCGTCAGCTTAAGAAGATCAGTTTATAAGATCATATAAATAAACATCAACTATATATGCCGAGGTTTATAGAAAGTCGGTCTTTCGAGTTATCAATACCATGATCTACCACCGTCGTGGTATCAAAGTCGCACGGTGGCAAATCTCCCTCTGATCCAAAAGGGCGGTGACTGTCTGTGGCGGTGACGACCTGGGCAGACTTTAGCCTCGCTGACCTGGGACTCCAAGGAACCACAATGGCTAAACCAGCAAAACTCCGAAACAATGGAAATTCTACTGCGCTCCGCACAAGTAGTGAAGACGAACCATCCACGTATCAAAGTAAGTACGCATATTACATATACTTACCTTCTATGTTAAATCTGAGGCAAGCGAGAGGGCCGTCATGAACAGTGAAGGTGTTCACCGCTGATAAATTCATACAGTCGAAAATGTGCACCTAAAAACTTCAACAAACCAGATGAATTGTTGAACATTAAAGATTCCCTCATACTAAAAGCCATCGAATAAAAAGCTTGCGAACTGTAAAGTTTCCAAAGTAGGTGGAAGGAGACTAGAAAGGTGCACTAGGTATCACGTTATCTAGGTAATAGTATAGTATACCGCAACTCACACTTCCTGCTTCCAAACTCGCTGGATACGCAATCAAAGAGCTTCCTGCAGGAGAAAGATCGATTAGACCAAGTCGATTCAATGGTGTGTCCAATATAGTATGGAGTGGCTAAAATATCAATTTAGTTCCCCATCCCTTTCAATGTCCTGTTCATCACTTATCATTACCTGGATACTTGGATTTTTGGATAGCCCGTCTTCATTGGTTGTGTGGACCCCAGCAAAATTTCCACTTTCCCGGAGTTTTGATTATTTAGTCAATGTGGTTCCCTAGAGCCCCGAGGTTATCCTCGCCAAACTTTGCCTCAGGTCGTCACCAACACAGGCATTCGCCGCTCATGTGGATCAGAGGGAGATTTGCCACCATGCGACTAGTTCGATACCATGACGGTGGTGGATCCTAGTATTCGTTTACACTTAGCTGGGCCGCCCGTTTGAAACGCCTGACTCCTTCCCAGCTTGGGAGGCCCTTCTAGGGGGATGAATCACCTCGCTGTACGTAGCAGCACGACACCCAAGAACACCTTCCAGCCAGGATAAGGCGGTAAACCGTTGGAAGGATTAACTAATACTTATTTTCAATTTTTAAATAATTGATTTTTTTATTAGAAAGATATAGAATACCTTCATATCCTTCAACACGTAAATGTGTATACAGTCCTCAAGACAGACGACGACCCGCTAGAATGAATAAATTAACTGTAGAAAATAATGACGTCGAAGAAAACTCACATCTCTGTTCAGTTTGACGTTAAGCACAGATTTCGTAAACTTATGACAACATATCATATTCTTGCTTTTAAAGTGATAAATATTCATTATGCGAGGCTCTTTCTGAGAGACAATGACGATCAGTGAAGAACTGAACAGGCGTTCGACGATGATCGCATCATGCATTGCTGAAAAACGATGTACCGAGGCTACAAGAACAAAACCCTGAAAAAAAGGATTGCATCAAGCGCTAAGTAGATTCCTAAAGCCTTATTAGAGAAAATAGGCTCTTGCGCTAATATCACGCCCGCTTACGGTTTAACACAAAGAAATATAACAATATCCTGCCTTGAAAAATTGTAATAGGCAGACCTAGCTTAACTGGGTTCATTGCCGATTTGGCCTCCCTAGATCAATCCCGTTGACGAAAGATTGCTGATAGCACTAGTAGACAGAAAATTAGCTGAAAGACAGACGAAACATAGGACCGGCATGGTATGGTGGTGAAGACGTTAGGTCCAGGAAAGTGTAATAACGCGTTCGTCCTCTGCGGTCCGGACTTTTGCGAATATCTCAGCATCACTGTGAATGTATCACACATAACACCTTGCCGTGAAAATTGCAATCGTCAGTAAATAAAAAGTTAACAAAGAAGTATAATGTTCGAAAATCCCTGGGATTACGTCGACGTGTTGTAAACAAGTTAAAGGCTAACGACATTAAAAGCTTTGGATAGCTCCGAAATGGCTTCGAAATCACTCCAGAAGTGCTGTATGATATTCAATGAAAAGAATGAAAACTAGAGGACAACTAACCTGGTGAAGTGTCAGCATCATCAACGACAATTGAGGACTCTAGAGCGTCCGTAGCTTTGTACAAAATGTATCCATTTGCATGACCGACTGCTAACGATCTAGAAATACCTTAAGGCTAAGTGATATATTAAGGGCAAGAAGCCCATTCGACTTTACTTGATACTTGAACGGCCCGTCCTCACTGGTTGTGCGGGCCCCAGCATAATCTCCATTTTTCGGAGATTTGTTGGTTAAACCATTGTGGTTCGCTGGAAACCCGAGGCCAGTCTGGCCAAAGTCTGCCCGAGGTCCAGTCTGCCCCACCACCATAGGCAGTCGCAGCTCTTGTGGATCAGCGGGAGATTTGCCACCATGCGACTTTGATACCAGAACGGTGGTGGATCTTGGTATTGGTTTGCTTTTAGCTAGGCTTCTTGATGGAAACGCCGGACTTCTTCTCAGCTTAGGAGACCCTGCTAGAGAGACGAATCCCCCGCTGTACATCGCAGCTCGACACCCAGGAAGACCTCCCAGCCACGATGAGGCGGTAAACCGTTTGGAGGCAATCTACTGTAATCGCACATAAACTAAGTGCAAACCTAGGCGAAATCCTATCTGTTCACAGTGCCAAGCAAAATTCGCGAAATCAATCAGTAACCGGTAGACTGGGTTTAAAATTATCAAAATTTACGAAACTTGTTGTGTTTAATCGTGTTAACACAAGCCTAATAAAACTGGATGCGCCTCACCCTGTTAAGACAGGTCCTGATAAGCGTTCTTAAGATATCTCAAGAACACCTAGCATCTTTTGCGAAATCTAGCGGCCCTGAAGGCCGAACAATCCAAATAATGACTTACTTGGCATCTTGATTGAAATTCACGCAAAGAAGATGGGCCACTTCCTCAGCAGTCATAAGGGATTAAAATCTAAAAACTGCGCTAATTTACTTACAAGTCAACCATCTACAACTTTTATATGAAATATTTTCATAAATGGGAATAGCTAGAAAAGTTACTAGCGCCAGAACTAAGCACAAAGCACTAAGCCTGCGTTACTAGTTGCGACACGCCCACAATCAGCTGATTCTCGTGCGGGCGCCGAGAAAACTCGTCCACCCACGGCTTGTCGGCGTCATCGCAAATTCGTCGATGCGGTTCCGGTGCCATTGTCTCTCCCTCTCTGCTCCTTCCCTTTCCACCTCTCTTTCCCCTCTCCTCACTGTTTTTCTCTCTTCCTCTCTCCCTCTCATCGTGCGTACCTTCTTTGAACTCTCTGGTTGCTGTCTTTCTTCCTGCCTCCTCTTTCCCCGTCTCCTTCTCTCTCTCGCTCTTTCTACTTTCCAACTTCCGTCTCTCTCTCGCTCTCTCTCTCTCTCACACACACACACACACACACACACACACACACACACACACA